ATAATTAATAATATAAATAATTATTAATAAAATATTTAAATAACTAAATAGATAATTAATTGTATAATTAAATTAAAATCTTATCAAAATACCCTTTAACTATTTAATAGACAACCAGAAATTAAATAATTAGTTAAAAGTCTTTTTAAATTGTATAAAGATTGCAAACTAAATACAATGACTCTTTTCACATCAAGTAGTTGGAAACACGTATCTAAATTTTAAGATCAAATTCCTCTGTCATTTCATCTTAATAAACAATTTACAAGAGAGTTGTCTTAGGCATACCACCAAGGCCCAACATTGATAGAAGAGAAATGTTGCTGTATATATTAGTGCCGATAAAATGAGTATGACGTTCATTTGATGGCTCATCATCCACATCATAACAAACTCCTTGCCTTGACCAATCTGGTCAAATTTAGGCAATGATCTTGTTTCACATCTTTTACACAACTCACGTTGTTGCTTAAAGATGAAGGAAATTAACAACATCAGCTGAAACTTTATCAAGTTTCTTCACAATCTCCTCCATTCTCTTCAAGCTTGGATCAATTTGAAAAATGCAGAGGGTGGTAAATATATAAAGGCTAAATGGGCTCAGAAATGATTAGGTTGTTGCAATGGCTATCAGGAATGTGGTAAGAGCCGAGGCCAGCCAAATGAAGCGGAGGCGCTCTACCCGGTTGCACACTGCTTGTAAGGGTAAGGGAGAAGCAGAATAGGGATAACAAGAGTGTGCCATCCAAAGGGAGAGCAAAACGGCTTCCAAAATAACATCATTGTCCGTATACCAACAAAGAAGAACAGGGGATAAGATCATTTTGAACAACAACATCAAGCCTATATCCCACTATGTGACCAGCTACATAAATCCTTTTTTTCTCCATTATGTCATAATAAGAATCAAATTCTCATTTAAATCTAATAAAAAAAGTCATTTCTAATATTTTCTAACCAAAACATTTTAGGAATACATCTACCTTTCTTAATATAAGTCAAATCTATTACCCGGAAGGCCATTTTATTTGACAAAGCCATCTAAAACAATTCTCTCTACTCTTACATGTCAGTGGAGCTACTCTAACATTTCTAGTACATGCTTGTTTTGAATTCTGTCTCTAAGAGTAAAGTCACTCATCCACCTGAGTATCCTCATCTCTACCACACTTTAACTTAATTTTATGCTTCTCTTTTAATGGCCAACATTCTGCACAACAAAATAAATAAATAAAAAGATCCAATGAACCCACAATAACAACCATTACCACCAAAATTAGAAGTATAAATTTGGAGCATTGCCGCCACTATAAAATTTGGAGCATTGCCGCCACTATAAAATTTGGAGTAATATAATCAACAAGTTGAGGGATTTTTAGGCTAAGTAGACAAGTATTTCCAAAAAGAGAAAAACTCTTAAAACTTTTATCCAATGCTTTTCATCTAAGCTAGAATTTATACCAGAAGAACATTTGCCAATGGATCTTAATTTCGAAGAGACTTAAGAATTATACAAGGCAACTTTATACCATCCTCAACTTTTAAACATTCATGTAAAAAAACTGATTGTGACTTGTATCGTCCAAACTTATCAAAAAAAGATTTTTTAACCCAAACATCAAAATAACTTCCTCCAATATCCACCATAGTCCATTCTTGACCATGAGGTTCCTGAATGAAACCCAATACTCTTTATCAAACCTATAATTTTTTTGAAATATATAACAAAATGCAAAACAAACACAGCTCAATCTTAAAATGAGAAAGATGTCATCCTGACCCAATTTTGGACTTACAAAATCACTATTTAAAACTTTTGTCCAATATCTTTCATCTAAGCTAGAATTCAAACCTTTGGCTGCCAATGGAGATCCTGAAAGCTTTTAACTCTCTCTCCAACAATAACTTCTAAATTTTCATGATCATCAGGGGAGTTCTCTACAACAGCAAATGCATGAGAGTAGAGGAGCTGCAAACACTCATCTTCTACTAGGCCCTCTAATTTAACTATTTCCTTCTTCTTTTTAATTACCTTTGCAAGCATCAGTGCAACTGAGTCTGTTCGAGTCGTTACCAGAATCTTACTACCAAAACCCCCAGAAGCTAGAGGGGCGAGCACATCCTCCCATTTGCTTTTATCCTTCTCGTCATCCTCCTCCCAAATATCATCCAGCACAAGTAAGAACTTTTTGAACATAATCTCAGTCCGAAGACTATTTTGAAGTGCATCAAGTGTGACAAAACGAGGATTCCAACATATCTGCAATGGCTTTTTTCACATCAAATTATTTGGTTAAGTGTTTGGTTTAAGTAGGAGGCTGCAAAGTTCTCAGCTTTTCTTCCAATGCATCATTTTTTTTCTTTTTTGGAACCAACTAAAAAATTTTTGTCAGAAAACTATATTAAATGGAGTGCGATGCCCGGAATTGCCAAGAAAGCAAAAAGAACACGTACAAAAACCACAATTTTACAGGTAAAATAATAATTCAAACCAAAGATCAAGAAAATCAAAGGTTACAAAAAAAAGAAAAAAAGAAAAACCGAGAGCTCAGAGCAAATAGAAAGAGACCAATAATCTGCCATCTGGAAGACAGTTAGACCCATAATGCAGGGAATCTCAGCTGCCAAGAACACTTTGGGGCTGTTTGGTAGCAGGATTTAAGGAGTTGGGCAGGATTTAGAACTAAATGCCACCAAACGCAAAAATTGAACATCTTAAAGCAAATTAAATCCTTTATTTCCTTTTGCAATAAATTTCGGATTTACTCCTATAACTCAGCAAAATTGCAGGACTTGGCAGATTTACAGGA